ACAACTTGCATAACCAGATTTATGTGTCAAAAATCTACACGTGAAATGTCGATCCGTGTGGCTGAGTCCAAATCAAATCATATCAAATTAATTTCTCTCTTGATTAAAACCTTAATCGATTCGTCCATATCTTCTGTGGAGAAATGTTAAAGGAAGGTCAAATAGTTACCGCGGAAGGTGAAGAGGTGGAAGTTCTTCTTTTTCTTTTTCTTTTTCTGGAGTTGATTCTTCTTTCACTTATTTAATTATTTTTTTGGTCCAGACCAAAAAAAAGATATTACGTCATATATAAAATTGGACCGGGTTCAGATATAATTACCTGGATCTCTTGCAGTATAGGTGACACCATTAATAAAAATGTATTCTTAATCAATTTATTTAGATTGGACCGGGTTCAGATATAATTACCTGGATCTCTTGCAATATAGGTGACACCATTAATAAAAAATGTATTCTTAATCAATTTATTTAGAATAAGTGTTACCCATACTACATACGTACAAGAGATCCAATTACCTTACCTAGGTAACATTATATAATTTATCACATTAACTGTGATTCAGATAATAGCCTCAAAATTTTGATTAAAATTACGGTTTTTTTCTTTACTAATGTTAGTTAATTATCGCTGATATATCATCAATTTTGATGTATCTATATTTGATTCATATTTTATTCATCTTTTATTATATATTCGAATAAATTAATGGGTTTATTTAATGATAAGTTGCATAAGTCAATTGGATACTATATATCTTTTAAAATACATATTACGTAGAAAGATAAGAAAATTTTCATTTTGTTAAACATAAGTAATAAAATTTTTTTGTCGTATCGGTATATTGTTCAAAGAACACTACAGACATGCACTTAATGTCTCTGACTAAAATTTTGATTGATTTCAATACTGCAATATTGATTGTTTGATCAGAAGACAATAATACGTAACCAATTAAAAAGCAACCTTCGGACTTTTAATTGATCCTATTAGTATTAACTCACATGTATTTGTATATAAATAATTTAAGCTTCATAAATAAATAAATGTCTTTTTTGGTGGTTTTGCTTGGCTTGTTCTTGTAATTCTTGTATTGCTATACACTAACTAGTGTCACAAATATATCTGTTCTTACAATTTACAAATTTCGGAATGCATTAATAAAAACTTAACAAGGCATGGTTTTTAAGTGAAAATGATTGGGTTTCAGAGAAAAAAAAATAATGATAATGATAATGATAGTGATAATGATAGTGATAATGATAATGATAGTGATAATGATAGTGATAATGATAATGATAATGATAATGATAGTGATAATGATAATGATAATGATAATGATAATGATAGTGATAATGATAATGATAGTGATAATGATAATGATAGTGATAATGATAGTGATAATGATAATGATAATGATAGATGAATAAAATAAAATAAACCATTAAAAAACGAAATTATTGAACAAAATTATCTTGAGAAATTGACAAGTTTAATATCTAAGAATATTGTGAGGCCTATCGTTATAAAGGTAAGAATCATAAAGTCGTTAGTCGACTAAAAAAAAATATTCCAACTAAATCGATTAAGTATTTTCGATTAATCGACTAAAAAAAAATTTGATTGTTACTATATTATAATAATAACGATCGATAATCACTTGACTAATTTTTAATTTTAATTTAGTCAATTTTTTGATCCAATCCTTAACGTTAATTTGAATCGGGCAAAAATTTTTAGTCATCAAAATCAAAAAACTGACTAAAATTGACTATACGTATAAATTCAATTAGTTAATTAGGTGATCAATCATCGACTAATTAACTAATTAACCCCACGTTACGGCGTATTTGCGGAATAAAGCAGACAATTGGTCACCAAATCCAAGCATTTGGTCCCCGAAATTAAATTTTAATTATATACAGCATTAATCAATAACGCGTCTAATCCATCTTCCCACACCCGATGCATCTCATTGGACATAGGAATTTATTAAAATGACGCATCATAACTTGGTGAACGTTGATTATCTCAATTTTAAAATATAAAATTTTCAAATTTTGGGGTAGTTTACAAATGTGCCGTAATGACATACCGTAGTGCACTGACTAAAAAGACCCCTCTTTTTGAGTACCCCTTGTAAAATAATATATGGAATTCCAAAAATTTTGGCCCAGTGACAGTCAAAATACACTCGGGTATAAGATTTTCAGGTATTTTATATTAGACCCGGGTCTTTTAGTCAGTGCACTACGGGGTAATTAGACCCGGGCCTTTTAGTCAGTGTAGTATAAATTTGATTAATAATACATTTCATTAAAGGAAGCAAGGGACCCGATTAATCAATTGATCGATTGGTCGATTAGTTTGTGGACTGATTGTAAGAAAAAATTGGTAATCAGCCAACTAATAGTCGCTTAGTCGTAATCGATTGGTCAATTAGTTTGTGGACTGATTGTAAGAAAAAATTGTTAATCAGCCAACTAATAGTCGCTTAGTCGATTAGTCAACTAACTTTATCCTTACATTTAAATCAAGAGCGACAACTATGACAACTATGAAACTATGAGTTGATCAACACATCACGTGTAATACAATACGTTAATAGCGTCAGGTTAATCGATAGTCTATGATCGACAACTTGCATAACCTCTGAACTTGTATGCTGCAAATGCGTAACTTAGTGTTAGTGTTAGGATCAATAAATCTATAATTAGCCGAGAGTTGTTATACGATCTGCAATCAATCAATTATAAATAAGGTGAAGAAGTTAGCATTTACGTTAGAGATGCCGATACGCGCTAGTTTACGCCTTACCGCTACACGAAAGCCGGAAGATTTATAATTTTATAATATTTGGAATCCCTGCAATAGTTCATATTTACATACTTATACATACTTATATAATTAACAATTTTTTACAATATATATATAATTTTATTTATACATATAGTTATATATATAATTGTTTTAAAAAAAGAGTTAGAAATGATATAATATCATATACAAATTTAATCTATTTATCTAAATAAATTTAAAGAAGGTGAAAAAAAATAAAGGTTACTACGTACAGTATAATGTAAGTCGTGATTCTAAATAAGAAAACCAATAGTTAAACTTGTTTAGTTTATTGTATTGCATTATGAGAAATAATAATAATAATAATAATGTTGTGTAGCTACAAAACAAAAATGTTGCTTATGTTCAGACAGAGAAACGAATTTTTATTACTATATATATAAACAAAAACATAATTATTTCAAATGAATCCCAAACACTTTTTAATACGTAGGCAGAAAATTTTTAATTTTTTAGTACATACGTACGTATAATACATCGTATAATACGTATAGTATACATAATACGTATAGTATATACGTACGTACAATATCAGATATCTTATATTGATATGTACAATACGTACGTACGTACGTGCGTAGAAAGATCTTTAATTTACAACTAATTTTAAATAAATATCGTAACCAAATAATTCATTTAAAAAGTCAATCGCTCAACACTTTTTAAATTAATTACTTGCGTTAATGTCATACGTGCGTGAGTACGTACGGACGTACGTACGTTACGTATGTATGTATGCGATATACGTAGAAGCAGAATTCTACATACGTACACGTACGTACGTACGGACGTAAATGGATTATTATGGATTATTTATTACTCATTATCACCCATTTCAGAATTTTTCATTCATAACGATAAATAGTATTTAAAATTTTTTTTTCCTACACACACTAGTTTTTAAAGAAAACAGGAACAGGACTCCGAATAATAATTTAAAAATAGCCTTATTGTTCTTTTGAGGTTGTGACTTTGGCTAATCCAAAGCAAATATAGTGATAAAGTATCGGTATAGAATTACGTATGTACAAATTTAGTAATTTATGAATGCCTTATCGATATATGGTTAAGTTCAAGTAAGGTCCAGATCAAGTAAATCAAGTAAGCAATAATCGTATGGATAACGTGATAATATCCTCTACGTACATGAAACTCATTAAACGTGCTAAGAAAAGTTTAAAAGGGGAGCCACCTCGAAAATTGTTTGTCACCGGGTCTCTTTGTTTTTTTTTATTGTCACACGACCATCAGATTATGTAATTTTCAAATCATTTATGCACACTAAAGGATGTATGTACACACTTAAGGCTGTGAAATTTTCGGTCCGCAAAAAAAACATATTTCCGTCATTGTCATTATTTTACCACAAAAGAAAAATAGTAATCTCTGTACAAATTAACTGATTTTTACATAATTGATAAACTTTAATGTCGGTTGTAGTTTTTCCGATCACTACTTGTTGATCATGTCGCGCCGGTTCCCGACGTGTATTTTCCGACTGCAATACAATCCTTTTTATTATTATCGTTATATATAGTTATGTTTAAATTCCTTTATTTGTATTTTAATTTACGAATTCAAATGCGTTTAATAGGACAAAAATAGCCGATTACATACGTACGTACTTATGTACTTATTGCTGTATTGTACATAGTAATTACTGAATTGAACTGGTAAATTTTTTACGTATCTTTAAAAAAAAAAAATTGTTTCGGTTTCAAGTTTGTCTTGCATGCAGTGGATCATTCACTTAATCTTATCATATAATCCGTATATATGAAAAAAAAAAGTGACAAACAGAAACGAACGGGTCTAGCCCTAAATCGACCATTTATATAAAAAAAAAAAAAAATCTTGGCTATCTATTAAACAATGCTATAAATTTTTATTTATCAATATATACCAATATATTTAATATATTTAATATATTTTTTTAAAAAAATCATATATAATCCAAATCTTTTCCCTATTTTTTTTTTTTTTTTAACCTTATTCACAAAAAAAAATATACCCTCTCATGGATAAAACAGCTTCTACGCAAACTTCGATAATATCAGAACCATTATCAATAATACAACCTCCAAATAGTATAGTACCTTTACAACACCAACAACAACCTTATGTTCATTCTTGGACATTAAGAGGTTTTCATGAGTTAGTTAGACTCATGTCTTTTAATAGTTACCTATATAGTGACAGGTTTAGATCTCCAAGAGGTTTATTCGACGCGAATTTACTATGTCCCCCTGGAACTTGGACAAATGACTTTTCTTTATGTTCTGCTCAACCTCATTTACCACCTCACTTACAATCTCACTTACAACCTCCTTTACAACCTCCTTTACCACCTCACTTACAACCTTACCTTCACTCTCAACCTCAAGTAACAAATCCTACTTGTCCATTTAATAGTCAAGTAAATCGTAGGCAAAAAAATAATACTCCTCTTTCAAATGACGATTCCGCTTATCTATGGCGTATGAGAATTTATCCTAATGGTTCCACTAAAAAATCTTGTGCTGGTCACATTTCTATATATCTGGAAGCAATTCAAACTCTTTTTGAAAAACAAAATTTTTTTTTTAGACGAAGTGTTCAATTCAAATTTTTACTTTATCGTTTAATAAAATCTTCTCAATCTACTTCTTTAACCGATTCTTCAAATAGATCTGATGATAATTATCATAGTTCTTCTACTTTTTCAAGAAATAATTCTTTAATTCAAGATTCTTCAAAAGAACGTCCTGAATTAATTTATGAAGGTTCTTTACAAAAATGGGATTTCGAATTTCATGGAATAAATTCTACTTATGGTTTCCCTACTTTAGGAACTTTTCATGATTTATTTCCTTTCGATGATATAAACATTAATGAAGTTGATTTAGTAGTTCGCGTTCATATTTATAATAATAATTCTTTTTTACCTCCTTTCTCGGATTTATCTAATCCTTTTTTCCCTTCCGATCTTTGTCCTTCTTTATGTTCTCCGGCTTCTTTTGAAAAATTCTTTAATAGTGATGCTTATTATGATGTGGCTTTTACTTTTGAAAATGATGATCCTCCCGTTGATCTTCCTTCTTCTCCATCTGATCTACCTTGTCCTAATACTAGTTCTGATTCTAGATCGGATTCT